ACACTTCAATATATGTATGCATAATATATTGCATAATATATTCCACATGTACCTTCCATCCACTCAAGAACACGCGTGTCTGTACGAAAACTCATTTTTATCGTGTCATCGCCGTGAGTCTTCTCTATCATAAACTCTCAATACAAATTATTTAAATAATCATAACTTTGCGAAAAAAGTCTTAAAGACCTCGACGATCTCGTGTTGTTCTTGCCTCGGGAAGTTCTTTCAAATGAGCTCTCACTCGACCGCACATGCCATTTAAGATTTTCCAACCTCTCTTGTCTTTCAGGAGCATGGGGTTGGGTGTTTTTGGAATTAAATGACAAATCTTATGATTCCATCATCCCAGTATCCCTGTAAATTTCAGACCTCTAACTCGATTCGTTTAAAAGTATTTAGGTAGCCTGGAACTTTTGGCGGGCATTGTATAAATAAATCTCAATTTTAATTCTCGAAACTTTGAGGCTTGTTTAGGGATAATAATAATAGATAATAGTTTAGGGATAATAATAAATTTTATCCAATCAAAACCAAATTTTTTGTATGAGTTACTATCATTATCCTACAACTTTTTCATAATGTCTAATTCAAATTCAAACTTTCAATTTTTTTTCGATATAGCCTAGCTGATACTGGATAGAGGTGATGGCTTCTCTCTCAATGGATGCGGATTGGGCTTTTGATAGTGGTGACATCATCACTGCTATCAAATATATTAAAAATCCTTCCTGGAGTGCAGCAGGAGAGATTGTATTGAAAATCATGCTACGTATGTTGGATAAACGAAAAGACGATTAAAGATCATTTCAAGAACACTTAACATACTATTAATAAAAAAATGAATCTCCGTACGATTCTCAGAAAATTATTTATTATTTTTTGACTGGGGTAATGTGAAAATTTTGGACAGTGAATTTTTTTTTCAAAAGATTATTTTCCGAAATGTTGCACATTAAAAAACAACATCGTGGTTTTAATAAGTAGAGCAATATGCTCTTGAAATCCTATCTACCAGTCTTCAACTTCCTCCTTCCTTGCTAATTTTTCCTAAATGTTCCTTATCATTCAATATTGTAATTTTTCTTCTTCTTCCTTCGACATACTTTTCTTTTTCAATACTTCTCTTTATATTTTATGCCAACATTCACGTTCACTGTTGATCGACAGTTCTTGAAATATTCTGTCTTGAGTTAATAGATATTCATTCTCGGGTATGATCACTCATTGCTGTTTTTTTTAATTTTTGTATTCTTTGTACTTATCTTCTAATTTCTGTATATCAGATTAGATATTAATGTAACTTATTAATTTTTGTTTAATTAAACTGTAACTTAATAATTTTTATTAGCTCTTTGTTATTAGATATAGATGTTTGTTTACGACACCTCTGATTCAATCGTTAAAAAATTCTATCAACACAACTGGATTTAGAGCGTATGATTGTGACTTTCTCCTCGTCTAATTAATTTTTATATTTTGGACAACCGTAAGGTGCTTCCAATTTATATTAATGAAATTTGACATATTGTAAAGAAATGCGTTTTACAAGAAAATGCGTTTTGTTGTAGCCCGAATATTACGATATTACTTTTTTCTATTCACGATAATTCTCGGCATAGTAATCAATGTTACGGAAGTGGCGGCCAGAAATGTAAGTATGCAAAAGCAAACTTGCAAATTCCAAAGAGCAGAGGGCGAACGAAGAATGCACGCTGTTTTAACCATATATGATCCGATTTAGAGTTATAACGCGATGAAACGCGACACTACTAAATACTATAAAGACGGTTGCTAAATCGCCGAGAGCGAGCAGTCACAATAATAACAGAGCAGTCGTACTACATAACGGATAGTCGTTAGGTCGAGATTCACACGAAATATTGTTAAGAAGCCGTACTAATAAACCAACTACTTATTAAAAGTGAGTAGTAATATTTGACCAGAAGAATCTTCCACCAACGATCCTGCTCGGAGTTCTAACTCTTTAGGCTCGGCGAATCCGATTTTCCCAGATGGGTCCTGTTAGCGCACAGTGCGATAGCACACATCAGCCGCTGCTTAGGAAATTTCCACCAATCAGAAAATTTTATATTTAATTGGCCAATCAGTGTTGTGTGCTATCGAATCCCTTTCAACGTTCCCTAAATTCAATCTTGTAACTCATCCAGGCTACAACAATTTTATTTTATTTTGATATAATTTTATTTCTTGTAATTGTTCTTTACGCTAAAGATGATCATGTTCAAGACCAAAAATGTTACGATATGAATTTTTTTCTGTAAATAGTAAGTTAAAATATATTTAAGTAGTTGTTAAAATATATTTAATATTGTCATCTAGGTTCGAATAATCCTTTTGTATATTTTTGATTTATTTAAAAAAATATTATTATAGTACAAAATATGAAAAGAAATTTAATTTTATTTTCTAATTCCAAGAAACATGTTAAGGTTTCTGAAAATGGAAAACATTTTATTTTGTATTCAATGTATAATACGAACATATACAACCCACAATGTCCTAATAATAAGAGCAGCCGAGCACGAATGGGGCAGCACATTCGAACAATTAACATACGCTCATGCTTGAGTGCTCTGATATATTTCTTAATGACACATATACAATATATATTCATAGTTATGCAATATTCGTAACTAATTTTCCTAAGAAAAGATTTATTTTAATTATTTTTTATATAAGATGTAATAATCTTACGAAGATCCTGGAGCAAAAATTAAGACATATGGAGGTTCGTGTCATAAGGACTTTCAATCAACTTAACATAAGTTACAATATATTAAAATTTGAAACAATTTAATTGGGAGCGTCCCGTTTGACCACGTTACAATTGGACACAGCCACTTACAACAATCGATGCCTGGAAATTTTCTATTGGATCAACCAATCAAATAATTTTATTTTAAATTGGCCACTCGGCAACATGGGCAATCGGGCACCCACTTAATTGAGAGTCATTTTTCAAAATTTTTGCGGGATTCGTCCTGACCAATGAGAGAGCCAGAATCTTATTTAAAGTTTTATTTTCACTGTGTTCTTAATTTTATGGATTTTGCGACAAATATTATTTTACAAGTGCTCGCATTGTGAACATGTTCCCAATTCTTCGTTTAACAGTTTAATTTTTTATTTTTGTTATTGCACTAAGGATAGTCTCGTTAAATAGTCGAACGTTTGCGTTATTGTGTATATGTTTGCATTATTTGTGTATATTTATTTTGTGTAATTTATATTTGAATATCACGGTTACTTAACTTCTATTAATTCTTGTTTTATTAAGCTAATTAAGTTAACTTTTAATTTTCTATGCCTATTTGTAATTCTACTTTCCTCTGAGCTGAATTCGTTTCATCTTTCTCTTTCCCTACTTTGCTATTTTTCTTCGTATATTTTTCTCTTATTTATCCTAATTTTCTGTTTCTATCCTTTATTTCATTTTCTTCGAAACGTACTGTTCTTCATTCAACCAATTAATCTGATCTTTCCTGTACAAGACTCTTCATAAACAGTATACTTACATTCTGCATACAAAAATGAAGACTAGGGACTATAATTTTAAAAAGTTTTATACACTTTTTCTACATTTTTTTCAAATTTTCTCTGCTCCATACTTTACTATTATATTTCCATCCCTATGTCTCCAGTCTGTATATTATAATTCCTATTATGTACTTAAATAAATACATTTTCTTCTTAAAATTCTGCATAAATTTCTATTCTTATCCCCATACCTTCCTCATTATTATTTCAGTCCTTCTTTCAAATCTTGATAGATGTTCTATTTTGTTCTATTTCTTTTTATCTTGTTTATTTTTCTTGTTTATTTCTCAATGTTATAAAAAATACACCACATAAACACTACATATAAACTTAATGACATCATTGAGTCAAAAGCAAACAGCTATTCACTTAAATGATCGTGATGTTATTATCAATTTTCTTAATTATTGTCATAGGATTAAAAACGTTTTAAGAAGCTATCGCATAAAGCAGATTAGATTGTATGCTGAATAACATATGAACAAATCGCAAGCAATATACTGCAAGTATGCGTTGAATATTTGCCATTTGAAGTATATATATATATATATATATATATATATCATGCTGATCGAAAATAATACTTTCATCCAAATCGGAACACAATCACATCATTCAGAAAGTATAAAATACTTGATTTATATCTTAAATGATAAGAACTGAAAAGTCTCAGATGCCTATAATAGAATATTGCTGTCATTATAAGAATGTATTTGTATAGTGAATCGTTACGCTCACGTTAAGAATATTATATTATTTAGAATATAATAAGCGTTTTGTTGTCTATTCCGTTATCAGCAAGTTTTCTGAATGACGTAATTACAATAGTGATTAAGACAGTGTCCCATTTTTCGCCAGTTTTAATGTTCTTCTAATTTTTTGTATTATCATTGCAAACTTATCAGCTGCAAACTTAAGATATTGGTCATGTCAATCTTTTAACAAACTTTTCCATGAATAAAAAGATAAACATTATTTTATTTGTAGAAAAATGGGTCCAGAATTATCATCCTCCAAATTTCAATTTATATTTACCTCGGCTTCTAAAGATTGATGCATTCCGTTGTTTGAAATTTCACCGCTTGACATCCCAAGAATTCTGAGGATGGCATCCCGAAAACTAATATAAACTTCACTGGGGTTGCGTTCTCCATTTATCTATGTAACAAATTTTTATTTTTATTTGTGTAAGCATAATTTGTATACAACAAAAATAAAATTGGAGCACAATTTATTAGATGTACAAAAAAGTTCTGAGCTTTTTTTTGTAAAATTCAATCTTTATTCAAAAACAAACAAAAAAATATTAATCAGCGAAATATTTCCCGTTTGCATCAACGACCTTTTGCCATCTTTCGGGTAGCTTGCGAATTCCTTGATGATAGAAGCTCACCGGCTTTGAAGCGATAGTCATCAATGCATTTTCGTATCTCTTCAAATCTCACAAAATGTGGATCAGCCAAATGATACTGCAGCGACCGGAATAGGTAGTAATCGGAAAGCGCCAAGTCTGAACTATACGCCGCGTGCGGGAGAAGTTCCCAGCCTAACGCAAAGATATGGTCCTGAGTCGCTTTCGCAACATGTGGTCGAGCATTGTCATGAAGCAAGATCACTTTTACGACGTCCTTGGCCAGTAAATGGCCTCTTTTCTTCTAATGCATCACTCAAATTGGTCAATTGTTGTTGGTAGCGGTCTGCCGTGATTGTTTACCCGGTTGTAACAACTCGTAATACAACACACCTTCCAATCCCACCAGATACAGAGCAAAACCTTCTTGGCGTGGATATTGGGCTTTGACGTCGATGTCGAAGGTTGACCAGGGTCAATCTATG